TTTGAAAGCAAGCAGTAAGAAATCCTGGTTCTTGTTTGAGACAAGCCATGTAGGCAGAGGTGACAAACGTGTGGATGAATGTCCTCCGGTCAGATCACACCAAATATTAAAGTTTTCTGCTCATTTTTACATCCGGTTCTGGAGATGCTCTACATCCTCATTGTGTCCAGACATTCCCACTGATCCTTTCCTGCTCTTCCAGAATGTGAGCGGTTCTCCATCCCTCGAGCTTTCAACCAAAGTCTCGGCAGAGCTGCGGTAGGAAACAGCATCTTGCAGCTACTTTTTCAGGTAATATCACCAAATGATGAAAACTACTGAGTTATGTTCAAGATGAACGGTGCCTTTAGAGCAAGACGTCATAATCGTGCTGACAGAGAGTTTGACTTCTTTTGAAGTTTCACTTTGCCTCCGCTCTTCTCCTCCTTTATCTCCCGTTTCCTCCCAGGTGGAGTCCAACCCCTTCCCTTTCAACTACATCTCCAATTATGCCGTCTCCACCGAGGTGGCGTCCATGGAGTTTCGCACCGAAAACGGCACCCACATCCCCATCTCTGGGCTCGACGACAGCATGGCCATCACGGTCGCCATTAGCAACAGCAGCAGCAGTGGGGAAGCGGGCGCCGAGGGTCCTGGGGTTGCTGGAGTCCCCTCGGCCACAGCAGTAAACGTCAGCCGCTGTGACTCGGTGGTGGTCAAGGTCAGCGCGGGAAACGGCAACAGACAGGCGGGTCTGTTTGTCCAGCTCAACTTCACCGCCATCGAATGTGAGCAACGACTTACCGCGCAGAAACAAAGCAACATAGTGAAGCTAAATTCACCTTTATATTAAAATGATGGAGCACATTTGGCCAGAATATAAAAGCAGAAATAAATTTTTTTGTTGTTGTTTTTCATTGTTTTTTTTTCTGTCACTATGTGTCCAAACTGCAGTTTTCCTTTTATGGATAAATAAATAGTAATTATATATTTCTCTACATTTTGTGCTTTCATTTTAGTTTCATAGTAAGTGGGATCTCAAAAAAAATTATTCCAATAAACTTGACTGAAGCCAGTTTTTCCAGGAAAAGAGACAACTTTTTCTGTTTCATAAAATATTGCTTGTTTTGTTTATTGTTGAGGAAGCAAAAATAACGTATTTTACTAAATATTTTATGTATTTTTGACTTTAGGAAAATGTGCACACAAGAACCTTATACTCAGCAATTATTGGCCCAGTAGACCTTACTCAGCTGTTTTCCGTGTAATAAAACAACTTGGACCGAGTATCCAAAAGCACTTTTATTTAAATAGCGTCTGGCCCATTGTGACTTGATGCATTATTTTTACAGTCTTTAATTTTATGTGCGTTTTAGACATGAGCGTTTTTACTGTTTTATGTCTTGACTTCTATTGCTTGATTTGTCTTGTTTTTGTAAAGCACTTTAGGTAAACACGTTATTTTAAATGTGCTGTGTAAACAAATTGGATTGATTTGGATATCGATACTGTCCAAATGTTTGCTTTTATTTCGATTTTCTTCTTATTTTTATGTCAGTATTTTTGATTGCATGGTTGCATTTGTTTTCCCTTCTCAGACGCAAACGAGATTGACGAAGATGAAAAAGTGGAGGAGGAGCCGTATCTGACCGCCTACCTCCATTCCCACGAGGAACCCAACGAGTTCAACTGCACGGACAGGAAGCGCATCACTCTCAGTATGACCAGAGGGCACGACCACAGGAAGTACACCTTCTTCCTGTCACCAGAGTAAGAACCTAATCCTCGTCTGAATTAGGTTGTGTTTCTGAACTCTTCCACAAAAAAAGAGAAATTTTGATTTTGGTTCTTTTAGTGAAGCCAGAATTTTCTCTGATAGAAAAGGCATCAACTAAAAGGAAACATATTGCTGCCATATTTTGGCGTGGCACTTGAAATATGGTATCCTATGTTTGACAGGTTGCAACAACAGACAAGCTTGTCTCCTTATATTGATCACTCCTCGATTCTTAGCATCGATTTTTGATCTTCTCTGTTAAATTTGCATTTGTTTTGACCAGATCCTACGACACCACTCAGGATTACTTCATCAATGTTAGCACGCCGTGCGGCCCTGATTCTCAGCCCGCCCGTGTTCGCCTGGAGGTCGGGGTGTTTGCCGCTCTGTGTCAGTACTTCAGCGAGGCCGAGAAGCAGTGGAGGACGGACGGGATGGTGCCGCTGGCAGAGACCAACTTCAGCAGAACCGTCTGCCGCACCAGACACCTCACATCGTTTGCCGCGGGCCTTTTTGTGCCGACCAACGCCATTAGCTTTATAACGCCAGTCAGTACCACAAAAAAAAAACACACAAAAAAAACAAGCTTTTTAGAAACGTGTTAAAGACGTAACCCAAATGTACGCCTTGCTGTATGTTTTAGGAGCGTTCAGGTCCACCAAGCCTGATTGTGCTGCTGGTGTGCATACTGGGCTTGCTCAGCTACGTTGTGGCAGCAGCCATCTTGCACAAGTTGGACCAGCTGGATCTTCGCCGGGCAGGTGTGGTTCCACTCTGTGGCCAGAACGGGAGCTTCAAATACGAGATCCAGGTCAAAACTGGCTGGAGCCGAGGGGCAGGTGAGGCAGAAAATCATTCCTGCTAAAACAGCTCAGTATTCATAAATAAAACCTTATCCATAGATATCAGTGCTGGTCAGAAGTAGCATACAATTGACATGACTCAGCCCCCTAGTGGAAGTAGAGCTGTCCTCTGACAAGCCAACTGTTATTATGGCAGACTAACGGACCACAATGTGTTACCCGAGACATTTTTGTCTTATAAGCCAACAATGAGGCAAAGACGGCAGGCAAGAAAATTCTCCAACTAGCCTATGTCAGGTCTTTAAGGTTATTAGCGGGAAATAACGGAGAAATCAACGATAAAGCCCAAGAGGGAAAATGAGGGACACAAAGTCTGGTTGCATGTGAGTGTGAACGCAGTGGGACGCTCTTTGCACATACAAAATGGGTGAGTAATGACTTAAATAATACGTTCTGTGGAACAGCTGTAGGGAATGCATATTACCCACTGACAGCTGGGAACGTGATTATCTATTATTTTCCTCAAAATCTCTCTGACCCCAGCGTGTTTTCTATGATATATGCTGTCAATATTGAGTACTGTACTTGGAAACACTGATTGGTCAGTTGCTGACAAATGCCTTGGAATGATTGGGGGAGGATTGCTCTAGGCCAGCATGTGGGCGGAGCCGGCGTCATTGGGTGCGTTCACACTGCAGCCTGAAGTGACCCAATTCCGATTTTTTTGGCAATTCCGATTTTTTTGTCGGGCNAAACCACTTCTGATTGTTTGCCAAGCCAAACATCCAATAAAAGTTCCATCAAGTCACTACTAAGGGTGCGTTCACACTGCAGCCTGAAGTGACCCAATTCCGATTTTTTTGGCAATTCCGATTTTTTTGTCGGGCCGTTCACACTACCAGTAAATGCGACCTGTATGCATTCTGCAGTGTGAACAGGCAAACGACCTGAAAGTGTCCCGCATGCGCAGTAGAGGGCGCAATAGCGTCAGCGATCTCAGTGTTCAGCCAACACAAAAGAAGAAGTGCTCAGTGTTTGCAGAAGTAAATATGGAGGCTAATGGTGGAGCTTAGCTTACATATTTGAAGTTGTTGTCCAGCCGGAGCAGCATATTAACAACTTAATCCTCATATAATCCGTCATGGTTGTTGTTTTTCTTCCCACTTGCGCTTATCAGGACGCAGAATAGTGACATTTGTTGAGAATCAGTGACGTTCAGCTCAGATGAATGCGACCTGGACGTTAGGCCGCATTTGAATCAGATATGTATCGGATATGGGTCACATTCGAAAAAGAATCCAACCTGTGCTGTTCACACTGCCATGAAAAGATCGGATACAGGTCGCATTACGTAAAAAAAATTGGAATTGAGTCACTTCAGGCTGCAGTGTGAACGCACCCTTTGAGGCCTGCCATAGCGATACATAGAAGAGCATTGAAATGATTATACACTAATTTTAGCACATTGAATGGAATAAGTCTATGTTAGTCAACAGGGTTGTAATTCTCCACATACCATTGAGCACAGGTTGGCTAAGATTAGCATTGATGCTAATTTTTAGCATCGGAACCCCTGATTTGGGTCCAACCAACAGGCATAGTTTGGCAGGATCCGTTTGAATTACTTCAAAAATTTTCTAGTAGTACTTACTCATTTGGTGTTTTATTCTGGTAAAGAACTGCCACGAAGTATTAATGACATTTTTACTTTTGTGTTGAATGTCTGTTTTATAATATATGTACTACCAATAACAAAAAAAAAACATTTTCACTTTTCTGCAAAATTCACCAACTGCATAATTCTTAGATGGTAAAAGATAAGTAGTATTTCAAAAGAGCAAAGGAAATTTTGTTTTTTGAACAATAACAATATTTGTTGTTAATCTGTTGCTAAGAGATTAATGTGTTTTCTGGTAACCAAGTGCTACGAAGTGAACGACTGATTTTTACTTCCGCAAAAATTAACAATTGTAAATTTCTTGTGTTTAAGCAGATAAGCAGTATTTCAAAAAGAGCTTATGTTTTATAAACAATAATAGTACTTGTTATTCTTTTGGTGCTAAGGGATGAGAGTTTTTTCCTGGTAACAAACTGCCACGAAGTATAAATCATATTTTTACTTTTGTGTTGAATGACTGTTTTATATTATATTTACCATCAATGACAACAAAAATTTTCACTTTTCCTCAAAATTCACCAACTGCACAATTCTTAAGTAGCATAAGATAAGTAGTATTTCAAAAGAGCATAGAAATCTTATGAATTTTGAAAAATAACAATATTTGTTGTTAATCTGTTGCTAAGAGATGAGCGCGTTTTCTGGTATAAAAGTAACACGAAGTAAGCATCTGATTATTCACTGAGTAAGGGAAAATCCACAACAAATTAAAACTTGTGCACACAAGTCTCACTTTAAAAAATGAGTAAACCTCTGACCAGCGCTGGCTGTGACTCTACAAATTGCACTATTTTAGAAACGTCCCCTTTTCTGTCCGTACAGGTACGACGGCTCACGTAGGAATCAGCCTGTACGGACGAGAGTGCCGCAGCGGACACCACCATCTTGACAGCAAAGGAGCGTTCACGCGCAATGCTCTTGATATCTTTCATATCGCCACGGACACCAGCCTGGGCAGCGTGTGGAAGATCCGCATTTGGCACGACAATAAAGGTGAAGAAGAAGAAGGCTTCTGTTTACATGTCACTCCGTCATTAAAACCTGTTTTATGAATCTTATGTAAACGTTACTCACGGGGGTAAACGTTACCCCCGCAGGCCTGTCTCCGGCGTGGAGGCCGCAGTATGTGTTGGTCAAAGACTTGCAGACTGAAAGCAGCTACTACTTCCTGGTTGAGGAGTGGCTGTCAGTCGACAATGAGAGAACCGGCGGACGAGTGGAGATCGAAGTGGAGGCCACAGGTGAGTACCGGACATCTAAAAACGCTGCTTGGCTTCATCGGTGGGCTCACGTCAGCGTATTTGTTCCTGTTCTCTCAGAGGAGGCTGCGCTTCGTCGTCTGCCTCGACTCCTGAGGTCCGAGCTGCAGAGAGCGCTGTGTGAGAGTCACCTTTGGCTGTCTCTGTGGGAGAGGCCCCCTCGCAGCCCCTTCACCCGCCTGCAGAGAGCCACATGCTGTGCTGTGCTGCTGCAGCTCATCCTGCTGGCAAACACCCTGTGGTACAGTATCATAGTGGACAAAAGGTACAGGTGTGTGAGATTTCCGTCCTGTTAAAATCATGCAGCAAACGTTTTCACATTTTATGCTACAGCCACAAACTTCAGTTCATTTTACTGGGACGTTGTGAAATATATCAATTGACAAAATAATTAAGTGGAAGAAAACCAATCAAAATCTGAAAACACCTCTAAATAAAATCCAGTGCAATTAGTTAAAATTCACAAGTCACTTCAGCAGATTACAACAGTGTGTGACTTAATCTCATTGCAAATCCATGTTTTCATTGACAACCTCAGTTGTGTGTTAATTACATTAGTGAACAAGCAGCATCATAAAGACCAAGGAGCACAGCAGACATGACAGCTTGCCAGATGATGCATGTTTCAGAAAAGTAACATTCAAAACTCAGGAGGCCTTGATGCAAATGTGCGGCAAAACTTTCCAGACTTTTATTTGTATAAAACCATATATTGTTTTGTATGATTTCTGGAAAAAAAAAAAAAAAAGTTTGAGGCTGTAAATATGAAAAGTTCAAGGGGCCGATGTGGAAACGTGTTTACACCCATTGACTTCATCTCGTCCCGCAGCCAGAGGGCGGTTTCCCACCATTCCTCGCTGAGCGGAGAGACGCTGGCAGCCGGTGTGGTGGCCTGTCTGACCGTCTACCCCCTCTACCTGCTGGTCTTCACCGTGTTCAGAATGAGCCGCAGCAAGGTGCCGCACCGCTAACCGCGTTCCTGTTCCCTGCTTCGACACAGAAAGCTCAGAGTTGACGTGTTTGCGTGTCTCCAGTCTGTGACCGTGGAGCAGGTGTCGTCACAAGTGGATCAGGAGTCGGTTGAGATCGACGACCTCCTGGAAGACTCTATGGGAGGAAGTTCTTTCCTCTTTTTCAACGGAGAGGTGAAGTTTACTCCGAAGTTCAGAAGTTTATTGAATAAAACACTGTTTTATCGGTGCGTTAATCTGTCTGTACGTCTCTGTTCCTCAGACCAACTCGGAGGAAACATACGTGGATCTGCCGTCTCCGTCTATCAAGAGGTGAACTAATCTTCGCTGCCTGTTTTCAGACTGTGTGTGGCTCGGAGAGATGTCATGAAAAAGCAAACTTTAAAGAAAATGAAAGGAAAGAAAGAAGACTGCTTTCTTAGAAAAAAATTGACTGTAAATATTTTTATGTTGACATCCATTTAATATGAGATGAACAAAACCTTTTCTTACAGTCACCACTCAACTTTCTCAAGGCTGTTTGATCAACACTTTTCATCGAAGAGACGCGCTGTGTTTCAGAGAAACTCAGGCCTAGTCCCTCATATATCTGAATAGTTCTGGAAACTAACAAACTCTTAGGCATTTTGGCCTTTGATACACACAAAAACTGTTTAATGTCACTATTTATAAAAACTCAGACCAACGGGGAGATTTGAGAAAGCTTTGTGTTTGTGTGTATTGATGGGAAAACAGAGATTTGGAGTCATCCACATTATGGTCTGTGACAATGTGCATATATATGGGTTTGGGATGTTTAAACATTTGTGCGGCTTCGTGTGGATGAAGGCATTTCTGAAACCGATCACGTGTATGCAGTATTTTCTAAGTTATGTGGGTGAAGCCTCAGTGTTGCTCTCTAATCGTCTTCTGCTGCTCTTCTTAGCGAGGACACCTGGGACATGCCAGAGGAGGACACGGATGACCGGGACTGGCCGGAGCTGATGAGTGAAGAATCGGTGATGGGAGGGGCCGGACACGGGGCGGGGATGCCCAGGCTGAAGAGGGTGAAAGGGAGCAGGTACCTGGGGGACGACATGACCCTTAACCCCGAGGAGGATGAAGGATCCGATCCGCAATACACCAAACATTTCACCTCATCAGGTAGCCGCCGCTTGAAGGGCGTAATGTCAGATGAGACACTTCAGAGGTCACGACGTTGACCTCGCGCTGCTTCCTGTTACAGATGAGGATCTGATCAAACACATCCTGGAAGACGGGCAAAACTTCTTTCCTCAGGCAGACGAGAGCGAGATGGCCGACCTGTACGTTATTCTTCTCTTATTTGGTAACATTTTGGCGAACAAGAACAATTTGCTGGTGTTTGATTTAAATCTATGACTTCTACTTTAGGTCAAGTATTTTTGGGGACAAGACAGAAGTGATTCTCCTTCAGAAACTCAGTGAGCCTCTTACTCTCGAATCCATCAGGAGGGATCCACCGAAAACGGCTTTCACCTCAAATACAGGTCTGTTTCGCAAAGTGTGTGTAACTCTAACCCCACTTTATCTGTGGAAAATCACAAGTATTTCAGAGCTGAAACGATTAATCGTGATCAGGGGCACCGCCAGGAATCTTGGGCCCCATAACAAAAAATTAGTTCCCCCCCCCCCCCCCCCCCCCCCCCCCCGCGGCGGTCCTTCTTATTGTTTTTAGGAAGGGAGTG